TCCAAGTGGAGGCAAAGCTAGCGTCTGCTGGTTTGTCTTGCTTGCCAGCAGAGGGTAGCATAACTCTGCATCTGGAAATTTCTTCTGCAGAATTGCTATTCCTGCACGAATTTGGAGCTAGGGAAAAGGCAGAGTTCTTCCTGGGAAGAGATGAGTGGACCTGGTAATGGGGGCTGGCACAGCCACGAACACAATGGTGATGTGGACAGAACACACAGTCAGAGCAGATGCTCTAAGAGGAGGTGCTGTTCCTCTAGTGGGTTCTGGAGAAACCCAAGATGGGAACGGTGCCCACCCTCACAACCTTCAATTTTCAGAGGAGTCTGTCTCTTCATTGGAGCCTTCACTCTCAGCATCCATTTTTCGCCGATGTTGTAAAGGTTTCCAGGGAGAGTTAATCCTGGGTGAGTTACGGACAGGCAAATTAGCTGTGTCCCCGCTGGAGCTGGTGGGACCGGAGACAGAAAGCCCTGAAACCTGAGCTACCCTGAAAGAGAAAAGACAAATGCTAGGCAGCCTAACTTGTCATCTCCAACCTTTACTGTAGCAGTTTTGGAGTGAACCTGGGAGGAAGACTTATTCACAACTAGCACAGGGGTGGAAAGGTGTTCATGGCACAGAGAGGAAACACCTTGCACTAGTACCCTAGACTCACTGTGTGAATCTTTCTTCCTGTTTGAACAGATCTTTCTCCTGGGCTAAGCCTGTGTCTTCCTATACTCCTAGTTTTCACCATCCAAAGAAAACTTCCCTGTTCATTAAGAGACTGCTGCTTCTGCTAGATCCCTCTTTGAGGCACACTTTTGTCCTCTGTTTCTGAAGCCTTTTCTAATGATTTTGTTAGTTGCACAAGACACTCCAAAGAAAGAGGCCCTCTCTGCTCAGGTTGCTCTGTTAGCTCCTCTATTGTTTTATAGCAGAGCAAAGGAATAGGGACAGTACTTTACTAAAGTCTTCCTTAGCACGCTACCTTTAATCTGGTTCTTTTGTCTGCTACTTTAGGCAACTCCACTTACAATTTCTCAAGTTCCTGATCCATGGCAGGGTCCAGAAACAATTCTCCTTTATCTGGCAAAGCCCCTGGAAAAAACCACAAAGTATCAGAGCAGAGTTAGGTTATTAATTTTTAAGGAAAAGTGCTCAAGCCATAGCAGCATCCAAAATCTGCTGTGCCAGACAGAGAAGGCTCTTCCTTATACCTGTTAGAGAAACACTGAATGTTGAGGATCATGGACAAGATAAAGAATGATGATCCCTATTCTGTGTACTTCACACAGACTGTAGCTGAGCTCAGACTAAATGGGAGGCACTTTCAAGTAGTCTCACCTCTCAGAGAACTTGAAGAGCCCTATGGACTGGCAGTTTTCATTCACTATACAAAACTACTGAGTACTGACTGTCAGGAAGATGACAGTCTGTCAACTTCGAGCCTCTGCTAATTGCCCTGATCCTATCAGAGCAATAGATATGTTGTTGTCTGTCCCACAGCCTGAAGTGTATGCTATACCACCCAGGGAGATGTATACTTCTGTGCCACCTGCCTTTCTTGTGGTGCACTGAGCCTAGGGATCAAAACACTCCACATGTAAGATTTTTGTTTTCCTTGCAATTCAGGAAAGTCAGGCCTGACTGGTGCACATTAAGTCTACAGGGTAAGTGTGGGCAGACTGTGCTCTAGCATTGCTTGCTGTCTGGGTGACAGCATGAAAGGCTGGGCCAGTAATCGGGTACCCTCTCTCAGCATAAGGTCAGCATGCTCCTTTTCACATTTGAAACCCTGTTCAAGATGAAGGACATGGTGTAGTTCAGGACCGGAACAGCTGGTTGGTCATCCTTGCCATTCTCTGAAAGGACACTGGCACCTCAGGAAAAGCCCAGAAAGGAAGATGGGCCTCTGAGAAAAGCCCTCCTTCCTAATTCTGTAACAAACTCCACCTTGTACAGGGGTCGTGGGAGGGTGAGGTGATGACAGGAATTGCCTACCACAGCCTGGATAGTGCCACTGCGCACCAGGACAAAAAAAACCACTCGGTAATCTGTACCAACAGTGCAGTGAGGAATGCTCTTGTTTTTAAGGAGACCTGGGTGCTACACTCAGTACCTTTGGGAAGGAGCTTTGTACTCCCTGTGGGGACACAAATCTGGTTTCCGGCCCTGGTACCTTGCTCTTGAAGGAGGGGCTGGAGAGCCACCTGCCTCACACAGGCAAGCTGGCAGCAGTCATCAAAAACATAGGAATGAGTGCCTAAAAATCAGAACCAGTTTAGACCAGAACTGACTCCCCCACTTCTAGTTCTGATCTTCCCCTCCTGCAAATGAACAGGAAAGCCTGGCACTGTAACATAGACTGTCAGGAGGTCCAGAGAAATGCCCCAGCATGCTCCCTTTCATGGTCTCAAAAGAATAAGCAGCTAAAGCTTAACTTGTTTCTGCATTTGCAGAATGCACAGTGAGGTCTCTAGGGCACAAGAATTACTTGGGAGAGCCAGTAAACAACACTTAAAGGATTCATGAATTGACATTTGACACTGGAGTTAGGCTGCAGATTCCAGTGTGCATGACAAACTCAACAGTGCTGCCTCAGCTTGAACGAGCAGCTCTAATCCTTACCCCTGTTCCTCAAGGTGGGCTGCGGGAGCTGCGTGAGGACACTGACACAACCAATGTGATCTAACAAGTGAACCTTTATTTCCGTGTTTCCAGTGCAATTTATAACCCTTGACCACACCCAATAAATACTGATTGGCTTCATTGCAAATAACAGCCCATAGTCCAACCTGATTGGCCACATTACGAGTCATGTTCAAGTCATGTTCACAAATGTTCACACCCATCTTCTTCAAGAAATTAAAACTGCATCATTAATGGTGGCTGTCTCTTCTCCTGCACCTGTAAGATGTTCATGCCCCCTGCACCAGAAGTTGTTTATGCTTTCAGCAGTTCCGGTACGTCCCAGCTCGTATTCTCTGGAAAGGCTGGATTGTTCACATGTCCCTTATTTCATAAATGTCCTCCCACAGTGGGCTACTGGCTTTGTGAGACAAGAGAGAAGGCACGCTCCTTTGCCTGAAAGTGCCCTCACTGAAGGGCTTTGGGGAGCTTGTGATCCCCTACAGACCAAAACCTATTGAAATCACCCTTCAGGAGAGATTAAAAGACACCAGGAAAAGAATCTTCCTTTCTTTGCCAAGACACTAGCACCTGTCAGACTTGTGGCTGCTGCCCCTCCTCTGAAAAGGGCCTTGGCAGGAGGCTGGCAAAGGGCCGGGGGACAGGCCCACGTTAATGAAAACAAAAACCCACACACTTTGTAGATGGCATGATGGAAGCTCTGGGCAGGATTTTTATTTTTTTTTCTGCTCATCCGTTTTCTTTGCACTCAACTAGAAGTGGATTTTATAGGGCAAAGGAAAAAAATTTTCCTTGCTGCAATCCAGGCAACACCCTCCCCAGTGAATACACTGCTTCCTAAGCCTGTTTGCAGAAGGGATTGCAGGACTGTATTCCTGCATTAATATATAATCTCCATGTTGCTGGGTAAGCAGCCCTGCCCCAGAGCAGCATTAGCTGCTTAAATGGTTTGCTGTAAAAAGGGGCTCAGACAGGGAGGGGACACTTTTACTCTACTGTGACTCACACCTGTGCAAAAGAACAAGCCCTCAGGTAAGGTACACCTTTTCACTGAAGTTTGACTTTGTAATATAAGGACTGGCAGATACTCAAGCCTAGAAGGGAGAGGATATCTACCCAAAGACAGAAAAAGCCTACTGTTACTCGCCAGATGGTTTGCTGAGTGGAGATAAGTGAAGATGAGTGTTTGGGCCTCCCCACATTTAAACATACCTCCTGGATACAGCCTTGTCAAACACAAAACCCCATTTCTGTTCCCTTTTGCAAGAGGAGGAAGAGAACAAGCAAGGCATATGGAGGCAATATGGCATTTTGAGTCTGAATTATGTGTGGATTACATACTGTTCTTTGCAAATGCAATACTTGGCTTCCTTGCTCTAGAACATCATTGACCAGCACAACATTGAAACAAGCAGTGAGATGCTGCTTCATAATCCCTCTGGTTCCCACAGCAGTCTGGTACAGAATTTTGTAACAGTTTGTGTTTTATGATACCACCGGATTTTCAGCAGGCCATAGATTACTAGTGAGATCACACTGCCGTAAGGGAAGATGGGGAAGAGCTGGGAAAGACTGGGCTTTGTCTTTGAGCCAAGGAGGCAGCAGAGGTTTTCCCATTAGGTGTGCCTCCTTTTCCTGTAAATGAGGGCAGTCACTTAAAATCTGTGGGAGAATAAAGGGCTAAAACATAGGATGTGACTTCGATTCAATACTGTTGACAGCAGTCAGCCACCTTACTTGTCTCCTGACCACCTCTACCCAATCTTTATAGCCAAACGTGTTAAAACAATGGTTCTGCTAAAATGATCAGCTATTGAAGAGGTAAAACATTGCTATCTTACAGCAGCATTTTGTATCTAATTTTACTCTTGAGGAAGCTCCACAGCTTCAAGCAGACAGTAAGGCACAGTGTTACGTTTTTAAAGTTTAATCCATCAACAAAAAGATTAAAAAATTTCCCTCACTCTCTTCCTGACAGTGTAAAATCTGGGGCATAATTACAGAGGAAATTCCACAGAAATGCAGAATGACTGAAAATCTAGAGCTCACAGGAGTCTTACCTAGGGCTCTGTTGATCCTCTGATCCTTTGCAAGTGCCATAAGGAATTCATAGAAGGTCAGTCTCTGTGCACTACTCAGTATTTCCTTCACAAGAGCAGATGGTGGACAGCTAGGAAAAGAGAGACAAAGAGGTCACCTTGTTTTTCAAATTACCATCTTTTTTTCCAAGACCCAGCTCAAACTGGAGAAATAAACCCTAACACTGTCAAGTTGCCCTGACTCAGATAGCCACTAGCTTGCTTATTTAGCATTCTATCTGCTCCCCATTTGTTAAGCAAGATGTTTGAGCTGGGGTACAGGCGCAGTCTTACCTGTCTCCATTCCAAGGACACAGAAAAAAGCCTAGACTGATTCAGAGGCATATACACCTCAACTCTTAGCATATTCTTTCAAAAATCAACTGGGAAATCTTTTCTTTTAGAAAACAATAAACCTTCATGAGGGTTGTTATGTTGTTATCCTTTTATCAGTGATAGCTATCCAAGGGGCAGGAAAACCTCTCCAATGATAGCCTAAATATGTCAGAAAACAGTATTCAGGTGGGGACTAAATTGATATGTCCCCTTCTACACTTACCTTAACCTCTGGCACTGACTTTTAAGCAATATCATCATAGTGATTCTTGCTCTTGACTAATACTCTTTAAAGGATTTCAGGCAAAATAAAACTACCTCATAAAGAGGAAGTGTTGAACAGTCTGTGGTGTAGTGGCAACTCTGGGAGATGAGGGTATGGGCTGGTGATCCCTCAGGCAAAGGTGGTTACCAAAGCCTGGCTGAGTATTGAGCTACTGGATGAAAGGCTGGGAATGGCTTCCCTCATAGTGCTGTGCAGAGCCTGACCTACCAGATGGGCTCACAGTATCCTTCCCATCTGAAGCTCTTGGGATATACAGGTAATAGAGCGTTTGCTATTTAAAAGAACAAAACAACCTGGCATCTCCATGCTTAGATATCTACAGTACTGGACAGCAGTTCAGCAGTAATTTTGTAGATCACAAATTTGGATTCAGGCACCTAAAGTAGGAATCAGGTGGAATTTGCATCCTGAGTCTTGTGGTCTAGCCCATGACCTAGCAGGGCACGTGCTCACTACCTGCAAGAAACAATGAAGAAAGTGTCTGTCAGAGCTATACCATAAGGTCTGGTATTGCTCTATCC